GTGGGGGGTGGGATAATGAGAAACAAAAACAAAACCGACAATAAACTTCCAACAAACAAAACAGTAGAACCCAACATGTCAAAAAGTTACTACTCCACCTCTGTGGGCCAAAATGCAACAGGTTCCGAAGTGCAAAACAAACACCAACTGCTGCAGGATACAACTGCCCTCTTTAAAGCTGGCTGCCGAAGTGCAGGTCTGAAATGATCCTGTGAATTCACACGCGCACTCGCCCGCGCACTCGCGCCCCGACTGGCATCACTGCCTCTGCCTGGCACCTATACATCTTATGTATATACAACCCGGGGCCCCATCGCGGGAGGGCATACGCGGAGGCCGCAGACCTCGTACCTATACATATGTACACGTGTGCACACTGGTCCTCGCAAGGCGGCCCCGCGGGGTCATAGCGCGGCGGCGTAGGCCGCGGGGTAAGGGTCCAGTTGAGGCTTGCCCATGCCCGGCAGCAGGATATAGGCGAGCGGCGGTTGCAGCCCGGGGCTGGGCCACGCGCTGCAGTTGCACGGAATCATGTAGCCCGGGTTGCCCGGGCTGGGGTGCGAGTGCGTGTGCCCCCCGGCGGCCGCAGCGGCCGCTGCAGCCGCGGCGGCCGCACCGTGGAAGGCGCCCGCGCCCGCGGTCGGGTACCCCAGCGACGACGCGTACGGGAGGCCGGAGGACGACGAGGAGATCTCTGCCATCTTGGAGCCCAGGTCGAGCAGAGAGTAGGGGCTACCGGCGGCGGCAGCGGCGGCGGCAGCGGCTGCGGCGGCGGCCGACTGCGGGAAGAAAACTCGCGCGGCGGCGGCGGCGGCGGCGGCGGCCGCCTTCTCGGGGTTGGCGAGCAGCGACTCCGGCACCAGGCCGCCGCCCGCGCCCGCGTGCAGCCCGGCGCCCGCCTTGAGCGCCGGATGCTCGGCGTCGGCCACGCCGCCCAGGCCGTAGGGCACCGGGAAGGCGAACTTGTCCTTCTTCAGCAGCGTCTTGGGCTTGCGCCTCGGCCGGTACTTGTAGTCGGGGTGCTCCTTCATGTGCATGGCGCGCAGGCGCTTCGCCTCGTCGATGAACGGCCGCTTCTCCGACTCAGTGAGCAGCTTCCACTCCGCGCCCAGGCGCTTGCTGATCTCCGAGTTGTGCATCTTGGGGTTTTCCTGGGCCATCTTGCGCCGCTGAGCCCGCGACCACACCATGAAAGCGTTCATGGGCCGCTTGACGTGGTCCACCGGCTTGGACATGCTGTCGCCGTGCCGCGGCTGCAGTCCGCCGCCGCCCGGGCCGTCGCCCTCGGTCCGGAGGAAATCAATGTTGGCTGTCCGCGGGGACCCGTGCGGCCCGCCGGCTCTCGCTGTGCCCCACTTCGCGCCCCCGCGTCGCTCCCGCTCGGGAGGAGGGGCCCGGGGGACCAGCCCAGGGCCGCGCCGCGCCCCGGGCCTCCCAGATCTCTCTGGCCGAGCGCTCGGGAAAATCCTCTCCGGGACACGATGACTTCTAGGGGGTGCCCCCACCCCACGGTAGCAGTTTGGCCTTTGCTTTCTTTTTGTCTTTCCTCTCCGGCGGCGTTTGCTTGCGAACTCCCTGCAGGTAGTCGCTACCCGGCAGAGCTGTCCTCCTCTTCGGTCTCCTCTCTCTTAAATGCACAGCAACGCGGAAAGTTGTGTCGCGGGGGCTCCACCAAGTTGAGCCGAGGAGCCTGCCGCCGCGTGCTGCCAAGTGCCAAAGGGGGCTCTCGGCGGCAGGAGTGTTTGGGTTCTCCTCGGTGACTTTCTCATTTGACAGTAGCAGATGGGGGTGGGGAAGGAGGGGGGAGGTGGCCCCGGAGGAGGAAGAGGAGGGGGAAGTGGAGGAGGGTCCGGGCGCACCACGGGAACGCAGAGCGCAGCAATGGATATCAATACAAACACAGCAGCACCAGCCGGTCTTCCTGACACGGGGCAGGGTGCGCCGATGGAAGCCTCCCCAGTCGGCTGGGATTTGGGGCTGGGGCGGGAAGCTTTCCGCGCCCCCAGCACCTGCCTCGAGGGTCTTCCTCTCCAGCTGACGGTCGGGGAAGGAGGCTGGATGAGGTTTGATCAAGCCTGGGGTCGCCGGGTCTCAGAGGAAAGTCTCCAGGCTCTCCGAGGCGCCGTGTCTCCCCGTCCCCCGGGCCATGCCGGCTCCGCTCGCTCCGAGCCCCTCTAGGCGCGCCGGCCCCCGAGCGCACCGGACGTGGAGGGCCGCGCTGCCTCCGAGCGGCGCGGACCGACCGTGTCCACTCCTTGCTCTTCTTGGCCGCCGCCCGGCACTTGCAACTAACTTCTCCCAAGTTTCCTGCACCGCCGCCGCCGCGCCCCTGTCGGCGCGCTTGCTTCGCAGTGTGCGCCCGCGTGTGCGCCGAGCCGAGGGCCCCTCTCTCCTGGGTTCTCCCGCCAGAACCCAGCAGGTGCGGAGGCGGAGGGGCCGGAGGAAGGGATTTAAGAAAACCGCGCAGTCACCTCAGTTCGCAGGTCCACGCGGTCGCTGCTTCCGCTTCCCCGACTGCGCAGCACAGAGGGCCCCTTCCCGGCCCAGACCGCCGCTCCGCCGCTCCTGAGGCGGCAGGAGCCCAGTGCACGGTCTCAGGTGAGTGTAGCTACCTGTGTGTGCACGCGCCTACAGCCGGCGATGGGTGTGCATGTTCAGCCGCAGCTGAGAGTGTATATCTGGGGGCATGCGGAGGAGGTGGAGCCCAGGACTCTAGGAGGGAGGAGGGACCAGAGAAGCCTCCTCCCGCTCCCACACCCTTAGGACCTCGAATTAAACAGGATCCCCACCGCCCCCCTCCATACTCCTCCTCCTCTTTTCTCTTGAGAGCAGGTTTAGGCGAGTGGAGAGCCTGAAGCGCGTCGCGGAGTCTGCGCACTGCTTGGTGTTGGCAATCTCGGTGTCTTCCGGGCTACCCTGGCCGGCGGGAGCTGTTCTGGTGGCGGCTCTGGGATCCTCTGCCTGAAGGAAGGAGGCGCGCGCCAGAGAGAGAACCTCGCGAACTACGGAGGAAGAGGACGCACCCTAGAAAACGTTGGAGACTTCTCCTTGCAAGAAAGTGCTCGTTTTCCTTGGAGGTCCAGATGTTACTTGCAACAGATACTTCCCGCATTTTCTTGCACTGGTGATGCACCCAGTTAGAGGTAGTGGAGTGAAAAAAATAACTGAGAGACTGACTGAGCGTGCTCTTGGCCACCCTTTCGAAAAGGAGCTAGCCCAGGCTGACAGTAGGCATCCTTGGCTTACTATTCTGCTCTTTAAAATTTCTGAGTGTTTTGTTTCTTTTCTGGTTGTCAGAGCTATCTATATGCTGATCTCTTTTAAGGTACAGTTAACTTACAGTATCTCACTTAAGCAATGAGAGAGAGGATGGTGTTCAAAATGAATAAGAAGTATGAAATGTTTCTCTGAAAGAAAAAAGTGAAACATACCCATCATGCCATACTGGAATATTTCTGTGTTAAGCACAATTTTCTTTAGTAAGAGCAGGTTTTTTTTCTTTATAATTGAAATGATGCAAAAAGCAAACAGCATGAGTTTGTTTGCATATTTTTCTCACTTCTTGGTTTGCTGCATCATACTTATAACATGATCAGTCTGGAGGTTTTATTTACAGGTTGGCCTGCCCTTCAGGGAGAACTTGCTGCCTTCTTTCTTTGGCAGTTTGGGTTTGACCTAGCCATGTGGTCTGTGCAAGTAGAAAGTTCTATAAGCAGTTAACTCTTTAAATCTTCCCTGCTATATGTGTTCAACTGACACACACACACACACACACACACACACGAAGTCTTGATTGTAGTTATGAACTTAAATAAAAACGTTTAGGTCATCAGATATATTTATAAATTAGGCTTGTTTTATTGCTCATTGCAATAAAAGAATAGTGATTGTTACTTTAATTTTAGTTGCTGTGATAACGTATAGAAATGTAAACCAGCAGTGAAATGTATGAGTCTATTTTTCTTAAGATATCACATTTACAAATGTTTACTTTGTATCAGTTATGACCTTGTATTGCTAAATCAATTGGACTGACTTCTCTAGAACGATATTCCTTTACAGGCTCAATAATACAGTGTCATTCATAGACTCTGGGTGGAGCAACATTAAAACACTAGCGGGTGTAATTACGTAGACTAGAATATTAAATATACTGTTTTGTGATGATAAACTACAAAATTATCATCCCTGAGCTTTTAACTTACTAATGTGTATAATAGGTCTGAAACAAAAATATTATACACTGTCATACAAAGAACATATGTATGGGGAAACAAGATATGAAAAACTTACTAAACATTGTGAATAAAGTTGAGTCTAATCATGAAAATTATCTTGACATATAAAAAAGGATAAGGATTGAGAAAGATATTTTATATTGGTTGGTTAAATTATACTCTTCAAATTTAAGTTTAAAAATCTATTATAATAAATGAATACATGGAAAGAAATGTTTGTGGGATTGAAATGTATGCTTATATGTTCAGTATAGTATGAAAAATAAAATATCTAAGCTTCCTTGGATATAGTTTTATAAATTGTGCAATATCGCCTGTTTAATGATAGTAAATAAATAAAATGTTAAAGTTCTTAAGTCCAAGAATGTTAAACTGTGCAAAACAAAGGTGCTATCCATACCTAAAAAGAAAGTGGCTGTTTGTATATTCACCAAATAAAATTTCACACATTTCAAAATAGCAGAAATTTAGTTTTTGATTTCAGTTTTTAGGGGATCAATATTCTTGGCCTACAAGAGGAGGTAAGGCCCTCACAATAAGCTGTGCATGTGAAAGGAAGGCAGTGGGCACTGCTGTTTTTAACCAACCATCAAATCTCTTGCCTGAATCTGATTGAGGTTTTTCACAAAGTAAGTTTTCTTACCATTCTCTTTCTTATGTGCCTAAATGTAAAGTCAGTTTTAATTTTCACAGATTTTATGTTTGACTTGATAGAATGTCATATTTTTGTTCTTGGGCATTTTTTACCTAAAAATGAAAAATACCAAGATATTGAAGAGAGAGAGAGAGAGAGAGAGAGAGAGAGAGAGAGAGAGAGAGAGAGAGAGAAGAATGAAGGAAAAGAAATTGAAAGAGAATTGTAAGTTCATTGGTCTTTATATTGTCAACTCTTGATGGCAAGTACCCAGCAAACAGCGTACCTTTATCAGTAGTCCAAGTGGCCCTGTATTTTCCCTGTGGTGACAGTAATACCCGTGCTCACAAATATATCTAATCAGAACCTGAGACACAGGAACTGTATCAGGAAAAGTTTGTGAGTCTGTGTAAATTCAGTTTCTTCTTTTCCCTCTCTTAAGTCCACCCCAGGAAATGATCATTTTCAATTCTAGAACTTTCACTAGGAGGCAGCAATGAGGTTGTTGGGGAATAAAAAAAATACCTTGGCAACACCATACTGACAGGCTTTCTTTCCCTTTCTCTTTCTCTCCTATAAAAGAGGGGGAGACTTTTTGTGTCCCAAAGGAAGACAAGGGGTCAAAGTGAATTAAATCATTTTCCTGCATCCTTTCTTTCTCCACTCTCTCTCATGGGATTTTTACCTTAGATATCTCACAGTCATATTTTTCTAGAACCATGGAGATGGTCAACTACATGGAAGTGACTGAGCAGTAAAGGTGATGCCTTCAAAGTTGAGGTCAAGTCATCACACCTGGGACACAGAGCAGGCACCTATAGTCAGAGAACTTTGGGGTTCTGGTCATAAGCAAATGCAGAGAAAGAATTCATAAGCTTTCATACTGGCAGAGAAAGGTAATACAGCCTGTTTGTCCTGTTAAGGAGGAAATGAGTAAACTGTGACAAAAGCCAACCTTAGGCTGTGTCACAGTTCTCTAGTCCTATGTTTCCAGGTCCCTAATTCTATCAGTCCCACTCTCATCAGCCCCCCAATGGTGGAAAAAAAATCCCAAAAGCCAGAGAGAGAAGAGGAGGAGTTGAATCAGACAGCCATGGCAGGAAGAAACAGCTGTACCAGTGGCCCTTGACTGGTTACGGCTAGATTTTCACCTTTTTGAGGTTTCTATCCCTTTATTCTCGCTGCTCCGGCCATACTTGGAAAGTGGGACTATACAGGTCAATAGTAAGGCACCTTTCCTCATTCCTTTTTTTAGGCTGACATTTTCAAAAGGAGCTTTACCTAGATGACAGACAAGAAAAAAAACAACAAAAAAACCAGCTTCTTCTTGCCATCTTCTCCCCGCCAAAAAAACACCTAAGGAAAAAAAGAATACAAATAATCCAAGACAGACAAGTTCACAAAATACCAATTTCAGATCTGAAGAACCCATAATGGAAAGATTTACCTCTCAAGGGATCAG